GTTAAGACAAATCTGTGTAAACCACTTGAGGCTATGTCTTCCATTCTAGTCCCTGGCTATGTACCACGGGGTACCTGAGAAGGAAGAGAGTAAACACTGCTGTCCACCACTTAGAACATTTTAGTGCATACCACGTAGAGATGGGAGCTATGTTTGGAGGTCTTCTATTCATAAAAGACAGTGATTTTGCCAAATTTATTTCTCTTCTAAGAAGACAGGAAAACAACTACAAAGTACAGACAAGGCAAACAGTTTGAAATAAGAGTAAAATAAAGCAGGTTAAACAAATTTACACATAAATTGCCCATGTAAACTTTGGTGTAATAATATTTTTTTATAAATAATGAAGAAAATGTTAAATCTAAATGGATTTTCAGAAGTACAGATTTCCCAGCATAGTCTATCATATCATTTAAAATTTGTTTTTATTTAAATTTGAGTATGAAGCTCCACACTTTAATTAAATTGCAGATCGTGTAGTTTGTTTGTTTTCCCAGAATAAAATATGGGTTTACTAATAGGTAATGTTGTGAAATCATCTTGAATCTAAAATTTTAACTACTGATGGATTTTTAGAACTGCAAATAATTCTAGAAGATAGAAAGGTTTTGTTTTTAGTAATAACTGTTGCACTTCACTGATCTCGGTCTGGAACAGGACTGAATATATGAGCATCAGAATTGGCCCTGTGGACAGTAGTGGAGGAGGAAGATATTGCAGTTGGCCTCCTGCTGCACTATGTCTAATTTCTCTGCAAGGAAATTCTGGTAAAACTGTGTTGGGGATTGGGATTATTCCTTTTGTTTCTTTCTCTCATGGAATTTTGTCCCATCTGTTTCTAAGAAACAATTACTACTGATACTTAAAAGAAAAAAAAGATGTTGCTGTGAGGAGCAGGAAGGAGAAGGGTGCAGCTTGCTACTCTCTGCACCTGGGTCAGGATCCCTGAGCCTCTCCCCCCTCAGAGGGATGCTTCCTGTAGCACTGGCTGGTGGGAATCACTTCCCAAGCACTGCTTCTCAGGACACATGAAAAGGGATTGCATGAGATATTTAGCCTTAACTGAACCCTACCAACTTCAGTTTGAAAACCCAGGAAGTCTGATATTCTTTAAATAAATTGCGCTGCCTTGTATAGACAGAGGTAGTGAGCTATGCTGACCAAGGGTTTCCACAGGTACAGGGAGGGTGCTGCCAATTGGGATGTCACTTTCCCTGGTCCCACCAAAACTTACCTCCTCCCAGGCAGACTGCCAAGAAGGGGGGAAAAAGTCAATCAGTTTCCTCAGAGGTGTTTTGTTCTTCTGGTTCTTTTTGTTGTCTCTGTTGTTGTTTTTTTGCCTTGTTACACAAATATATACTAGTAAAGAACTGTTCCTTTTCCCATATCTGCCTGAAGGCCCCTTTATTTCTAAGTAATATCAATTCAGAGGGAAGGGTGTAATTTTTTTTTTCCGTTCCAAGGGAGGTTCCCGCCTTCCATGGCAGACACTTGTTTTCAAACCAAGACAGATCTTAAGGATTTAAGTAGCTGATCTCTCTTGAAAGAAAGGGGCATATTCATCTGAGATGTGGCTGTGTCCAGTGCCCAGTAAAATCAATTGAAAAGGCTTTAACCACATTCAGTCAGATGCCTGTGAAGGTTAATAGATTATATAGACATATAATTACCTTCCAAAATAAAACGGCGCATAAAAATGCAAATGGTTTTAGAGCCAGATGTTGCAATAATGCAAACACAATGTAAAAATACCAAACTCAGCCATAAACCATGAGGAGTTTTGGAACATTGTAATAAAGACTAAAGACTATTTATTTGTTAAGATACAATTAACGCATATGATTACCCAGGTGTATCAATGAATAAATATATGCCTACAAAAATGTTATAGGATGTTTGGCGATTACAACTACTGCTCTGTAAATGATGTCTGTATGCCTCCCTAATGAAACCAAATGCCCAAGAGGAATTTAAAGCTCAGAGTTCCTGTAAGTTTGCTCTACAAAGACAATTGATATTTCTTTATCTTTTGCAGGTGGCTGTGCTAGCTCTGATATGAGCCATTTTTGTGGACTGGGCACATAATTTTCCATCACTTAGAGCCAAATGCTCTAATTAGTTTTTAATCTCACACACCTAAAAGGGAGTTATTTGCTCATTTGTGGTGATGCTTTAAAGAATGAAAGTGAAAAAGTAGTGGAAAAGTGTTTTGGATTTGAACACTGCCACCCTATTCCAAATTTTTCAGCTTTGTCTGACTAGTTATAGAAATAGCTCCAGTCCTTTCAATAATTAATATACAACAGTCTTAAATTTCCCCATTCTTGCATCAAGTATATCTACTTCTCACCACTTTTTGAGGTTTTTTTTTTTGTTGTTGTTTTGAAAATGGCCTTCAGCCATTATTCTTTCTTAACTTTCTAATGGAACACCTAAAGGACAGCCAGATTTAGTCAGTGCTTTCCACCTATGGCTGCTATGAATACATATGGTGTTTTAGATGCCCTTTACATGATTTTTAAAGGCTTTCTGAACACGGGTGCAGGACTGTTATTGTTAACCGCTAGATGCCACCATTGCTCCTATAAAAGTGGTCCAATCTACATCTGTGTCCGTTAAATCCCACAAACCTTCAACAGATTTCTCTGCAGTGTATCAAAACAGTGGAATAATATTGAACTAAAAATACAAATGCAGGTAGATACACGCGTTATAAATTATTTTGACAACACACAACAACTTGGGGTCCATTTTAAACTCGGAAGTGCGTAAAGGGCTTTATAATCACCTCTCATGGGTTTACCTGCTCTTTTTGTGACAAAAAATAAGAGTGCTAGATCTGAGGAGCTGGTGCAGCTGACACTGACTGTATAGGCATAAGCAAGGGAAGTGGCTAAGTGTCATACATTGTACCTCTGCAACCCCAGAGCAGTAAGCTGTCTGAAAATTTAGGACACCATTATTATGATGGGGCTGAGAAGATCTCAAGGAGATTGTACTGCACATGACTCACCATGGCTCAGAAACTCCCAACTGTTTGCAAGGAGCCGGGGGGGAGGGATGGGAGATTGTATTTTAAAATGCAAGACTCATACAGAAAGCTGAGGCTCTCATAACTCTGGTAATTCCCAATTTAAAGCCTTTCTGGAGGACATCCTCTCCACTTAGCTCGTCTGTTAATAGCTTGGGGAAGACAGACTCAGGATCTGCTACCTTGGTGCTCACACAACATCTCGGGTAGTGATCCTTAGTCCAGACACAGCACTTGGGCTGTTGTTTTTAGTGGTGACAGCTGGAGTGAATGCGTAGTGCCTTACTGATTGGTGCTACAAACGTGCCAGCCTGTGTGCACATGGGGAGGAAATTAACCATGGTCTGTTTGGAAAGGACACTCAGTTCTGGGGAAGCCATAGAGTATGCTTCCTGAGCCTGATGCTTCCACATCTCAAAACCACAAAGAGCATGCAGCCCGCTCACTGCATGTGGCCAGTCACATGGAAAAACTGCAAATTACTTCAATAAGTGACCTCTTCACAGCTAAAGACTATGCAGAGTAGACTCGCTTTGTTAGGTGGGTAAAGCGGTATCATTTTCCAAAAAGGTTTGACATTTTTCTCTCACTATTTGCATACTTTTACTAACATCACAGAGCACCAGCCTCCATACTCCTCCTCCCACCTTGACATATGTCTAACAATTGATAAAGTCACAAGAAGTGATAGACAAAGTCACAGATGAGCCACAAAATGGGTGGTTTTCCTGAAAAGTTGTAAATATATGTTACTGGATCTGTTGTATTGATGTATTTCAGTGAAAAGATGTATGGATGTGAAGAGCAATTCATGCCTTTTGTCGGAGATAGACATCTTGCACAATTAAATAAGGGATGCATACAAATATGGAGGATATGCAGGCAACCTTAAACTTCAGAATTAAAACTGTCCCTGTAGCCACAGTATCCTTAACGTTTAATTGCTGCTGCCAGTCATCCTGGACTGTGGACAGCGCTGTTACCCAGAGGTTACCCAGAGGTCAGGAGGATGAAGAAGCAATGCTCCAGGATCTTGGAGCTCATGAGAACCAAAGCAATATTAACAATACCAATAATACTAACACTACTAAAATAATGATATACTCAGGCCGTGGGAATCCACGCCACAGTAAAAGGCACTTTTAGCTGGGGAGCTGCTAACTGTCGAGGGCAGAAGGCAGAGGCTAGAGCGGAGGCAGCGGAGAGGGCATCCCTCCTCCCGACACGACACCCCGGACCGGGTGCCTTCCACGATCTGCTCTCCACAATCTCTGGAGGAGACGACCGGGCGGAACGCCCCGTGGCCGCCCTCGGATGGTGCCGAGCCGCGGCCGCTGTTGAGACCCCGGCCTCGCCCGCTACCACAGCGGGTCCGGGACGCACCGGGGCACCCAGAACAAAGCGGGGGGCAGCCCCACCGCGCCCCACCCTTCCGCACCGCCCCGCGGGCGGCCCCGGCCCTGCCCCCGCCCCGGCGGGCAGGAGGGTCGCCAGCGGGCGGCGGAGCCGGTTCGGGTGTCGAGGCCGCGGCGCGGGTGATCCGCGAGAGGCATCTAAAAAAATCGTTTCCTTCCGGAGCGGCGGCGCCGGCCGGTTCTCCGCCGCTTCTCCGCCGCAGCTGGGGCGCCGGCGGCGCTCTCCGGGGTGAGGCGCTCGGCAGCCGCGGAGGAAGGCGGCGGGCGCAGCGCGGGGGCCGGGGCGGAGGAGGCTGAGCGGTGGGAGGGGCAGGGAGGGACCAGCCGCGGCGGGGACAAGGTGCCAGCGGAGCGGAGGCGCCGCCGCTCTTGCTCCGCCGCCCTGCCGCCCGCAGAAGTTTGACTCGGGAGCAGCGCAGCCGCCCAGGGCCGCCGCGGCGGGGCAGGGACCCGCGGCGGGAGACGCCGCGCTTGGGGCCGCCGCGGGACGGGGGTCGCCTCCAGCGGGACGCCGGCGGCGGTAGCGCTGCTCCGGGAGCCGCCCCTCCCGCGACATGGCAGCGCGATCCCGGAGACCCTGGCTGAGCGTGGTGCTGGGGCTGGTGCTGGGTTTCACCGCCGCCTCCTGGCTCATCGCCCCTAGAGTGGCCGAGCTCAGCGAGAAGAAGCGGCGCGGCGCCAGCCTCTGCTCCTACTACGGCCGCGCGGCGGGGCCGGGGGCGGCCCGGGGCGCGGCGGCGGCGGGCGGGCAGCAGGCGCCGCCGGGGGCAGCGGCGGTCCTGGGCGGCACGAGTTTCAGGAGCAGCCCCTGGGAGCTACCGCCGGCGGCGGCGGAGGGCACGGTCTCCAGCCCCGCTGCCGGCGGGGAAGGGGAGCCGGAGGAGGAGGACGAAGGCGGCGAGAAGCGGAGCGGCCGGCCTGGCAGCAGCCACAACGGGAGCGGGGACTGGGGAGGCGCCCAGGGGTGCACCAAGCCCCGCAACTTTCTCTACGTGGGGGTGATGACGGCCCAGAAGTACCTGGGCAGTCGGGCGGTGGCGGCGCAGCGGACGTGGGCGCCCTCGGTGCCGGGCCGCGTGGAGTTCTTCTCCAGCCAGGGCTCCGCCGCGCCCCCCGGGATGCCCCCGCTGCCCGTCGTTGCCCTGCCGGGAGTGGACGACTCTTACCCGCCTCAAAAGAAGTCCTTCATGATGATCAAGTACATGCACGACCACTACCTGGACAAGTACGAGTGGTTCATGCGGGCGGACGACGACGTCTACATAAAAGGTGACCGGGGCGCATCCCGCCGGCGGGAGGCAGGGAGGAAGGGGAGCGGTGTCTGGGAGCCCGTCGGAGTCCCCCCGTGGGTCGGTTCCCGCCTGGGGTGGGGAGAGCATGGGGCGCCTCGACCTGCCGCCGCCCCGCCGGCGTTTGCTTCCAGCCCCAGTGTGCGGGGTACGGGGAGCCGCCCCATCCCCGAGGGAGCCCCGGCGTGCCCGGGCCGGGCCGTCTCTGCGGAGGACGCGACTCACTGGAGAGCCAAAACTGCGGGTTGGACCGCGCGGGGCTCGGTGAGCGGTCCTTTGCATGGGCGTGTGGTCCCGCTTGGGCCGTCCCCTCCCTCGCTTCCGTGGCGATCCTGCGGACGAGCCTCCGCTGTGGTCCGGTGGAGAGGGTCAGGTCTGACCGGGCGCGGCGGGCTGCGGGCACTGCAGGACTCACCACCCGACCGCGGCGTGTCTGGCGGTCGCGCCGCGCCCCGGCCCCCCGGTGGAGTCGGTGCAGGACTCGTGGGGAGCGCTGCTGTCGCCGGTGCCAGCTCCCCGCCTGCCTCGACCCCGGGCTGGGCGAGCGCCGCCGCCGCGGGCTCCAGGTGAAGCTGCTGTTCCGTGCAGCGAGCGGCTCCGGGAAGCACCAGCCCTGCTCCCGTGCGAGTTTCGCAGCGCCGTTAGGACGTGATGTTCTACAGCCTTCTTCCTTTTGGTCTGCGCTTGAGGCTAGCATTGTTTGTGCCGTGTCCCGCGCTTACGAAAGGGAAGCTGAAGTTCAAAGCATAAGCCCAGGTTGTGAGATTGGTTGCTTACACTGTTTTAAGTTCATTGGTGGTGGCTGTACCCTTCCCTGTTTGTCACTTAATTTTTGAATCGTTTAATAGGCTTCCTGCTCATCAGCTGTCATTCACCTGTCAAATATTTGCAGACTTATACATGTGTATATGTATATACATTCAGTTACAGGCTAAAGTTGTGTTTTCTTTGAGCTCATTTCAATGGAGTACTGAACCTGTGTTTAACTGATTACATGGTACCAAATTAAATCAATCCAGAAACTTTTAATTTCAAATAAATATTAAAATTTCCTAAAATAACTAGCTAAGTGATGATAAATATTGTAGTACTGGAACTATTTGAAACTAACAAGAGTTTTATTTTCTTTTCAAGAATTAGTCTGTAATCAAACCCGGTTTTCCTAGTTAATTTAGATTGGCTCTGGTATTTTCTAAAATTAATGTAATAAATCTTACCTGGTATTTCCCATCACCTCCCTTTCCTTCCCAGCCTGGAACTATAGTGTCCAAATTGTCCAACTTTAGGGACTTCTATACTAGCAAACGCTTTCCATCAGTATTGTTCGAACAGAACAAGTTCATTGTCAAAAATTAAGTTCTGGCCATATTCCAGCTTGTGGCTGGAAGGAAAATGTAATGTTAATTTAAAAAAAACTGTTAACTTGTCTCAGGATGTTTTCTGTGACGTCTGGGATATTGCTTTGGAATATCTCCTTTCCTCTGACTCGGGTACCTGTTACATTTTTTATAAAACTTTGAAGTACAGGAAAAGAGATGGCTGGCAGAGTAGTCAGACAAATAACAGTAAATCTTGTCTTTTTTTTTTTCAGGTGAAAAATTGGAGGAGTTTCTTCGCTCACTGAACAGCAGTAAACCTCTGTATTTGGGGCAGACTGGTCTGGGTAATATTGAAGAACTCGGAAAACTCGGGCTGGAGCCTGGAGAAAATTTCTGCATGGGAGGGCCAGGCATGATCTTCAGCCGGGAAGTTCTCCGCAGAATGGTGCCACATATAGGTGAATGCCTTCGAGAAATGTACACCACTCATGAGGATGTGGAAGTGGGCAGGTGTGTCCGGAGGTTTGGAGGAACTCAGTGCGTTTGGTCCTATGAGGTAAGTGACAGTATAAATTAGCAGTGTGCTGTTTGTTTACAGAGTTTTTCATCTTGCAAGGTAAGTAGCTGTATCTGCAATCTCTTTCCACCGTAATTATCTTCCAGTGCTTGCATCAGGATGTGAACTAGAGACTGTAAGGAAAAAAGAGAGGAAAACATTCACAGCATATTGCTGTAATCATATTTATTTCTACTTGTGTCCTACAGTTTTCATTGGTGACAATTTACTGCAGCCATGTTGTAAGTGTTGCTATGCTCTAAGTTGCTAGAGCATTATCTAGAGGGTTTTGAAACAATCCTTGACAGGAAGCTGTTGCATTTGGTATATATACTGTTCATGACAGATTGTTTTAAGCAGATCTTTTCAAGTTTAGGCAAGCATGAAGCATATCTGTTTGCTCTGCATCTCAGTCTCTTAAAATTTTTACATTGTAGCATTTGAAGAATGGTCTGTATTTTCTTAATTACCCAGATGTATCTTACTCAAGTTTGTTATTTACAAAAGGAGAAATAGGTGTTATTTGGCTGGGTTTGTCTTTTTTTTTTTTGTACTTTTATTTGCAAGACTATCTTCATAGATAAAAATAGGCTGAGCATACAACTACAAGAAAGGGTAAGGGGTGAAACCTAATATGATAAATATTATTTCACTTATTTTGACCAGTTATTTAATATTAATATGTGCTTGCTCTTGTGGCACTCCCTCCATTAATCAGGAAAAATCCATTTAAATGGGCCACAGAAAGAGGCCAAAAAAAAATTTTGTGTAACAGCGTTTTTCTGAATGGCCCAGGAAAAGGTGACCATTTATAAATGTTTTTGGTAGGTTTCAGTGTATGTAAACAGGTGAACAAAAGAAAATGCAGCATGCTTGGTACTAATTAAGTAGAAATCTTAGAGGGGCAAATCTACTTTAGAATAGAAAGATGCTTTTCGAGCCTACTTCATTATGTGTTGTAAATGCTACTGTGAAATAATATACCTGTGGCTCTGGAAGAGAAGGGAAGGCATTTATGGTGTTGATGGAAATCCATGTAGAACTATATAGGACTGGTGGTTCCTGATCTGACATCCAAATTGCGTGGTACATCTTCAGCCTAATCGTACACTCTGATGTGTTTGGGCTGTGTCTGTACAAAGCTATTTTCCAGCCGTTGTGGGCATGTGAGGCTTGCTGATCTGTATAAGGTGGCAGCATTAAGATTCTGCCTTGACAGTTGTATCATGGAAGGGGTTTTGGTTTTGTTTTTATGGCTTGACTTGGGGAGAAATCTGTGGAAGAAAACTGATAATATTGTCACCATGGTTATAATGTATTTTGATGTTGAATGTCAGGAAGTGTTGGCTCCAAGCACTGATCTTAAGGGGGATGGAACAAAAAAAATACAGTTTTGGAGACTGGTTTATATGGCTGCCCAGAAGCTCAGTTTTTCATGGTAGGATTGAGACCTGAAAACAAACTTTTTGAAAAAAACTCATGCTTGTATGAGATCTGGAATAGTGACACCAGTCTTGGTTGTCAGTTGCTCTTGAAGGACCTAGGTCTATGTAATAGAGAATAAAAGAAAAAATGTATTGGGCATTGTCATAGTCCCCACTACTTTCTGACCAGTATTTCTGGCTGATTCTGAAGAATCTTTGTTGCCAGTGCAGAAGCTGCTTGAGAAAATGCAGATGATTAAGACAAAGCTGCTTAGGATGTTGTCCCAGCATTAAACCTATTTAGATGTGAAGGAGTGAAATGAGATGTCTGGAAAGAGAAGCTGCATTTGTGCTTTGGCATAGTTGGTGCTGTACAACAGTATGATACTCCACCCGAGCAGATCTATGTGTTGCAGATTGCTAGATTATTTGGTGAAAAGAGTAATATTTTTCCCTGGGGCACTGAAACTGTTTCTGTGTGCTTTTTCATTCCTGTGTTAGATCAGAAACGCTCTCTATGTGCTAGAAGGGGAATATTCCTTCAGATACATGTGCACAAAATCTAAGATTGGGACCAGGACTTCCTGTATAGCCAGTTGCACTTTTGCCCTCTTGTTCTATGTAAGTAATAAACTGAGTCCTGTTGTGCTTCAAGATTATTATGAACTTAGTTGATTTTAGTAAGATAAATAATTTGTATTTTGTATGTATTTGTGAAGACCAATGTAAACTGGAAACAGTTACTTTAAAATTCATGGGAGCTTTTTAGCTCCGGAAGAGTTGAATCACTGTTGCCTCTAGATTTTTTCTAGATTTCTTTTATAAGAACTGGATCGGAAAGTCAAAGAGTTGCTGAGAAAACCTGAAATGCTTGATCTTTGCTGTGTGGCTTAGCTGGTGTAGTTGACTGGCTGCCTGTCAGGGTTTGTTCTGCTGCGACTTAGGGCTAGCCAGAAGCATATGGTAGCTTATATGCATAATATGCTTGCTGACAAGAAGAGGGTAACAACTTTGTTTTTGGTTTTTATTTTGGTGGTTTTTTTAAATTTTGGGTTTTTTTAATTTTACTTTTTGTTGCAAGAATGAATAAGATAAGAAGATATTTGTGGGCCTGCAGTGAGCCATTCTTATGTTTTCAGCTTTCTAGAGTTAAATTCTAGTTCTGCCAGATTTGAAGCCAGGTCTAAAGACTGAGACTCCCACGTGCCAAGTGACTCACAACTGAAGCGATGAGCCTCTCTCTGTGTCTGGTGATGGGGCTCCTAAACTCCAAATAAAGAGTTAGTCATTAGATTGCTGAGAGAGGGAATCTAATGACAGTGTTTTTAGGGTCCTTGTGAAAAATGGAGGACAGAAAGAGGAGGACACTTGAGTTAGTGTCTGTTTTTGGTTGATGTCCTGTTCTGCTGGACTTGGGCAGCCCTGTGGTGGGCTGGAACAGGGGAGAATCCACTTTGCTGAGCATGAGCATCAGGAGAAAAAGAGGTGGTCCTAGACAGGAATAAAGGACTAGCAAAGTGTTGAACTGCTATCTTGACAGCAGCTTAGATTCAAATTGTTTGAAAGCAACAGCTGAACTGTAGCCTAAATCTAGTCCATTTCCGTCTTCATGAGAAGGTATCTGCTAGAAGTGTATTTTGGATGGATCATTGTCTTTCTACAGAAGATCCACCCTTGTTCTGGTATATTTTTTCAATTATGTTTTAATTTACCCTTAGTTTTGATGATACTGTAATGATTGAGGTATAATAAACCCAACAAATTTGTCCAAAGTATCTCTGTAAGAAGTCTGTTCATTTTTGTAAGGTCATAGCATCTTCTGCTTTCCCAAATCAGGCCTTTTGATTTGTTTTCAGAATCTATATTTCAAACTATCATTCTCTTCCACTAATTTTGAAGCTTTCAAAAGTTTTTATTTTAAAGGAATGAAGAAATTAGCTTGATTTTAGTGAGTCAATGTTTTTGATTATTTTAAAACAAAAATATAGCTAAAAAGCTCAGATGCTGTGTACTTCCTTGTTTTGGGATTTGAGTATAGAGGACAATTTGAAATAAAGGTTGAATTGCTTTATCTCTCTTCCCTTCCCCCTTGCTTCCCCCCCACCACCCTCCCCGCCTTTAAAAAATATATTTTGGGTTTCAGAAGACCATTTTGTAATTTATAACCTGAGATTTGAACAGATCAAATACTGTAGTTCCATAAAATGACTAAAAGAAATGCTGTGTATGAAATAAGTGGCTATAACAACTGAAGAAGACTTTGTCAGGGTGTAAATACTGTCAGAGAATGTGTTTTTTAGAAATTAAAAAATGTCAAATGCAGCATAAAAATTGTCTAAAGACAATTCATTGATGTATTTGTAACATATATTCAAATGCTTGCAAAGCTTTTCTTTTTGTTGCCTTTTCTCCCTTTCTATGGATGAAAATCATGCAGTATCTTAAGGTAGAAGAGACTCATAAGGATTATCTTGCTATGTTCACTTTAGAATTAAAAACTATGTTCCTCCAAAGCATCCCATACAGTAGTGTTCCTTTGGTATTGTGTAGGTTGATGTTGAAAGAAAATATGGTACTTTGTACATACAAGTAGTCCACATAAACGATATATCTGTTTTTCCCATTGCTTTTTTCTCCTTTGTTTCCAAAGTTCAAGGACAGCCATAGAATACAGTCTCATTACTGCAACATTCTTTTACTAAAAAAGCTCTCAATTATCCTGTTTGTTGTTGATTCCCAGTAGTTACAGTAAATATTGCAGTAAATGTCATGGGAAAATGCCTCTTTGGATCAAGCTGTGCACTCAGAAACTTTTCCTTTACAGTGCATTGGTATATTGACTGTCTGTGGTGGTACTAGAACTTTGTAATCCATTTTATGTTTCTTCTTCTAAAAATACTTTATATTTTCTGTTTTAGTCTAAGACTTCCTTTCTGTTGTATTTTAATCTGTCATTTGAGGCTTTATCTCTCTTTGGTGAAGATCTGTACTAAGCTTTGAGTTCAACCCTGCACCAAACAGAAGCATTAGAGGCGTGGGTGCCTTTGATGATAGGATGGTATTTTGCTCATATTGGCTACTGAAATGATCAGTCTTGAAGCAGCAGTGCTCCACCCCCAGTTAAGTTGTTGAATTCAGACAGTGACATGAGGTAGTTACATAATTGCAGCCAATACTTTAAGAAAACATCAGTGATCCTAGGATAAAAATGCGTAGAAGAGTGGACCCCTGCAGTAGGGGTCTCTAAGTGTATATGAAGAGAAATCAGATGATCCCAGAGGCCTTAGAACTTCTTGCATAAATGGACATTTTCTGATACGGGATTGCTTGTGTGCTGCCTTAACTCGTTGCTACCAACATCTACCTGATTAGTGATGTTAACTATCAATATCAAATTTCTTTACTTTATGTGATTCTCACCCATTTAGAAAAATCATACTATTGTAGTGTAGTGTTTCTGTGTGCCCATGATACAAATAATTGTAAATCCTTAAATGCATATCCTGTTGCTTTAACCATGGTGCCAAGTTGGGTCGTTACTCTTGCCCTGTGTGCCTCTGCCTGGTCCTCACTTCA